CCCCCCCCCCCCAAGGGCCAGTGCCGCCCCAAATGATAGCGATGCTATATAGAGGGCCAGAGAAACACCACGTCGAACCACCAAAAAGAGCGGATTCCCCCCACCACAAAAACAAAACAAAATCAAAATAATCGCTTTCAGATCTATCTCACTGATCAGGCCGCGAGACGTCTGAGGATGACTTCCCACCCTTCTCCTCCTCCCCCTCGCCTCCTACCTTCGGTAGTCCAGGTGCGGGCTTATTCCCGGCAGCCCGCGATCCCGGTAGTCCTCGAGGGCGACCCGCACCGTCGAGGCAGGGGTCAGGCCCCACGACTCCGATGCCGCAAGCCCAGCCGCGGCCCTCGCTGCCCAGTCTCGCAAGAATCCGAACGCCGCCGCCAGGCCGCGGAGCGGGGACAGCAGGGGGAGCCCCGCCAGCCTCAAGAGGATCGTCAGCCCGAGGTAGACACCCCTTTACGTGTTCCGGTGCAGTACAGTATGTCGGGGTGTTAGTTTAAGGGGTCGGGCAGAGTAAGTGAGACGGGGCACGCTAGTTCTACGGAGATGGGTCAAGTCGAAAACCGGGCGGCAAGGCCGGGTGATGTTTATCTTGGGACACATGACTGCCCGAAGTCCGTCCGAGCAGCAATACCAAGCGACGTGGCGAACAAACAAACATCAGCAAGGCCACAAACACAAAATATCCCAAAAAACACAAAAAGGAGGCGTACGCGCGTACCTCTCTCCGTCGTTCAGCACAGGGCCCAAGAGCGCCGTCTTGCGCAACTCCTCCGCTCTCTTCTCCCCCGCCTTCGCTTGGCCCCGACCCCCGTTGGCCGCCGCGCTCCCCGCCTGCCGCTGCTTCACGTACGCCTTCAAGCTCAGCGCGGTCGTCTGCGCATCTTCCTCCTCCCTGTTCCGTCCACCATCACCGTTTACGGTGCCGCTACCGCTACCGCCACCGGATTCACGATTTCCCCCGGTCCCACGATCTCTGAAAGCACCACCATCGTCGTCGGCAGTCATATCTACCACCCACTCGAGTCCAAGAATGTCTTCGACGGTCGAGGCACCTTCTTCCAAGCCACCGCCCCCGGCACCGCGATTCCTTTTTCTACTACCTTCTCCTCCGCTTCCCCCACGGTCACGGTTCCCCCTGCTGCTGTTTCTTTTCTTGTTCTTGTTCTTGTTTTTCTGTTCTTGGCTTTCGTCAGCGTCGCGACGTGCCCTTGCCGCCGCCCGCGCCGCGCGGACCTGTGTATTGGTTCACCAACAACAAACGCGTGGCAGCATACGCGAGGAGGCGCCATAGCGGCTGAGCTTATTCAAGTGGTGGGGTGCAAGCGATGTCCAAGTCGAAAATAGGTACGGGGCGCCGCTGCGTGGGTCCGAGCGAAGCTAACCTCCCCCGCTAAACGAGAGCCCACACGCTGCCGCTTATTCTGAACGGACACTCGCGGTGGTGCTCACAACTGAAATGAGTTGTTCGCACCACGCATGGGAAGGCAGGGGTGTGTGAAGATGACCCTATAACCTTCACACAGAAAGGGTCGTACCTGTCCTGCGCCTTCCGAGGGCCATTAGTTCGCTCCTTCCTATTAGCTACTCTCAATTTCACAACGGCGCGGGAGCGTACATACTGGGTTCCCGAATCAAAAACCACGGACGACAACAAACACGCGGTCATGCACCCATGCTTTGGGTCGGGGATGTTGATGAGGGGTTTCCATGTGTGTGAATCAATTAGCATCGACCGCGCTAGCCGGCTGACCAATGAAATGGCGTCAGTCTAAGAACTGTGATAAAAAAGGCAAACGCGCTTTCCAATCAAAAAGTATCCGGCAAGCGTAACAAGTCAGTAACCATAGGGGTGTATCGTGGGCATCAGAACACGCGCATGATACACGACAGTGGCGGCCGACCTTCGCAGCTGCTTCCCTCTCAGCGGTGTTGTCTTCGCACGGGCCTAGCGCCGCCGCCATAGCCCTCCGCCCAGCGCCGCCCTGTCCGTAGACCCCCTCCCACCGCGAGGCTGTGTCACAGCGCCCTTGCTCTGCCAGCTGCACCCTCTCTCTCCTCTCTTTTCTCTCCTCATCCTGCAGGTACACCTGAGAAAAACCGGGCGCAGGATAAAGAGACGGCAAGCAACAAGAAGAGCAGCGATATACGTACAAATTAGGGGTGCTTGTTTCCATGCTGTACAATGAAGGCGCTACAGCGGAGGTCGGGGGGGGGTTGATGAATCAACCGACGAACCAGCGTACAACACAGCGAATTAGCTGCTATAGAAGAAACCGGCAACACCAACGAAAGCAGGCGTTTCATGAGGTGACCGTGCCACACACCGTCGCGAGATACAAACCGACTTCCGGGCGAAAAAAAAACAACCACGACGAGCAATAGCGGTGTTCATCCTCTTACTGCTATTTTATTGGCTCATTTGTCCGCTCTCGCGCGCGCTGTTGACCTTCAAGAGAACCTCCAGCTTCTCCACCGCCTTGAGTTCCTGTTTTCGAACCTCCTCGTCCACCTCCCCGGCCTTGAGGGTAGCCTGCCACTCTGCCACCACCCTCTCGCTCCGCTCCTCAGCCCCCTTCCGAGCCTCGAGCCCGGCCTCCACCCTGCATACATGAGTGCATGCGTACCAGGACAAGCATAACTTGCATTCGATACGGGTCAATTCAACGTCATCCTTCACCCACAACAAACGCCTTTCCCACCGCTACTGCAACCCTCACAAAACCCCGGCAACTTCTCTGTTAATTTGCTGCCGATGTTATCTTGTCGGACAACTCACTCACTACACGTGCCCGCCATGTCGGCCAGCCGCCTACCAATCTGCGGCGTTGATCCGAACATACAAAAAAAAAAAAGAGTAACACATCAACAGCATGTGTATTTGTCGCCCAGTTCATGCCGGACGTCGATTACTCCGGTGTAGGGGGGGCTGGTCACACAGCGGGAGCGTGCGATCGATGTCATGTCAGGGGCGACCATCCACCGACAGTAATACTTGTAACGTCTTCATACCAAACCACAACGTTCGGCTGGTTTTCGCCTACAGGCCAAGCCAAGCCAAGCCAAAATGCGCATCAGGCACTTGTCGTTCCAGCAAAGATAACACCAGAAGAGATAGATAACCGCTACTTCTGCCACAACACACTTGGTGACTTTTGTTGTTGCTGTCCACCAAAGTACGTTACGCCACCTCCCTCTCTCTGTCTCTGTCTCTGTCTGTGTGTCTGTGTGTCTGTCTGTCTGTCTGTCTGTTCTGTCTGTCTGTCTCTCTCTCTCTCTCTCTCTCTCTATCTCTCTCTCTCTCTCTCTCTCTTCTTCTCTCTCTCTCTCTATTGCCTTCTATACGCCTCCATCGCTGTTGCCCGAGCGTCCGCGAGGACCCGCTCGCAACCGTTTCGATCGCATGTTGCTGTTGCTCGTGCCGCAGACCCCGCCGCACTCGCCGCCGCAGCACCACCGATCGACCTCTCTCCAACTCCCCCCCGCTCGACAAGCTCATCGCTGCCGTCGCAGCAGTCGCACACTCCTATGACGTTTCGGCATGTGCGTTCCGTCGGGGTGTGAAGTAAGCACTACAGTTGCCGGCATGGTGGCGGCCATTACACTAGCAAGTACCGTTACACACAATCGACTTGCAGACCTGTGAGGCCATGACGCGTGACACGAGCTAAGAGTTGATAAACCAAGAATAGGGGCATCCATGCGCACAGGCAGTGTCAGCACCACCAGCCCACCGCGTGCTCCAGCGATGCTGTCATCCCTCGGTAAGAAAAAGCGCAAACAACTCTGCGGAACTCACCGTCCCACAACCTGGACGTAGGGATCGTCTGGTTGAGCGGGCCCGTGTCCGTGCAGGCAAACCTGGCGGGGTTCGAAAAAAAAGAAGGTGGGAATGCGAAATAACGCCAACGGTTGGAGACACTGCTGTTAGTTGTTCTGTCCGTCAGTCGCAGAAACGATTATATGGGTACGTCAACTGTGGCATCGTTTCGCGTCACCAGGCAACCGAGGCCAGGCACACTGACTGCTCCTAACGTGTTGGCTCCGAGCGTGGGGGCAGTACGAAGCCATTCTCGACAACGCCGCCCACAGAGACACTTATGTACTCACCCTAATCTCCACGATGCGAGGCAACGCACGTAGAAAAAGGAGTGGAAACCGGGTGCACAATGTGGGGAAACTTTCGTGGCTCAGGGCACCTCTACGCAGACTGGGAGCAGGCGAAGGGTTGTGAGGGGGGAATGCGCACAAATCAATACTACTGCTGTGTACGATGAATCTGGAGTGGTAGGACCCCTACATGATAAAGCGGTACTGTTACGCCCACTGCAAACTCATTGGGTACGAGAGAGACAAAAAAAAGCAGAGCTTGACTAATGGAGTCAACGAGAACACCGATGCCTTGCTGGGATTCAAATGAGCTAAACCTACCCAAAACAACTTTGTAGCTAGAGATGCGGACGGATTTCTTTCGCGTACGTACATACGTGCGTCTCCCGCTTTCGGGGCAACATACCAAATATCGAGCCACAGCGAGGAAGAGGTGCGGCGCTTCAGAGAGTACGATATTTCTATCGATGAAGCAAAGTTGGTGGCTTGTTTGTTGAAATTTGGCGAGTTTAGACAAGGTTAAGGTTTTACAAAGACCCGCGAGGGGCAACGTGATCCACCACATGTGCGTGTGTTTTGGCTCGCGCTCGAAGGGGCACAGCCGTATGAGGTTACAGCAGTACTGCTGTGCATCGACAACATCTGTACACACCTTCATGGTTCATCAATGAACGCCCTCCTTGCAAGCCATGAGGATACTAGCACTACAACAGACCTTGTACGCGTGGCCTCCATACCTGAGAATACCACGGCGCTATACTATTGCAAGACGCAGAGGAAAAACAGAAGCGACACACCTCGCTTGCCCGGTGTGAGAGCAGGCTGGCGTAAGTGTCTCGTCCGTGCCGTCGAGGCAGTCACAGTAGTCGTCGTTAACCTATTGCAGTACATACAATCGCAGCAGAACAGTCATTCGCGAAAAGATTTTATTGTAGTAAATGTGTAGTCTCACGTGCAGCAGTGCCAGAGGTCAGAGGTAATGTAACCACTCCCAGGCTATACACCCCAGACAGGTTTAGGTTTCATTATGGGCAGAATCCCCCCAACTCGGCTCTCTTTCCTCTCGCCTCGTTGCCTCCTCGCCTGCCGGCACGGCGAAGATTTGCTAAAGACATAGTCCTAGTAGCCACATGCCCTATCCTCATATCCTACAAGACATTGCCAGTCGGCCAGCATCCCCAGCACTTGGCAGAACCCACGGCGGTTGTACGAATCCTTGTCTCTCTCACTTTATTTCCCTCCAAAGCTGTTGCACCTCCATTACATGTAAATATCGACGATCCTCGAGCAGACACGACAAATGAAGCTCCTAGCACGAGGAGGCGGTGCTGCCACGGTGCCATGGCGGTGATGCCCGCTCACTGCGCTGTGCAACCAAGTTGAAGCATCTCGGGGGCTCCGCGATTTGGTTGTGAGTGCTTGATGGGGTGGTTCCGCCGCAAGCTGGTTATTGTTGTTTGGGTCTGGGGTCTGGGGTCTGGGGCGCGGAGCAGTCGCCACACCGCCACTCGCACTGTTGAAGTGTCTCGGGTGTGCTGGCACTGGTCGGCACTAATCGCTTGATGGCAACAACGGGGCCACGACTCACCTTGGCGAAAACTCCGAGGTATTCTGTATTGGAACATTATGGCAAAGCTGGCGGTGTTGCTGTTGCTGGCGGCCCAAAGGAGGAGCAACGCAGCAGCCCCACCAACACCACAAACACCACCAACATCACCACCGTGTTTGACTGTACCGAGAGGATGTACCTGCAAGATACCTACCTCATGACCTCTGGTGAGAGGTCTGCTTCGGGTCTCTTGGTTCTCATGTTTACTGACGGACACTCCCCCACAGCTTTTCAATATATCTTGTTTGAAATGCAAACGCTGATTCTTTTTTTTTTTTCTCGAAGATTTGGATTATCGTTTTCGGTACGCAGCTCCAGGGCGGGCGATCCGCAACAAGCAGCACTCACCACTCACCACATTCCTGCAGCTTGCCCCAGCACGTATTTCCTTCGAAGTTACAGAAGTTGCGGATACAGCATTTGCTCGGTTGGAGTTTTGTGGGAAATGTTGTAAATGTAGATCGTCGTGGTGCCACACAGCAGTGGACCCCCCACATGTTTTTTCTTGAAAAAAAAGCGGGGTTGCGTCCTTAGAATTCAGCGGACGATAGCTCACCACCCCCGGGGCCAATGGAGGCATGCTTTACCTCAAATCACGCGCCTTTTGCTAAGGAAGGGGGTGGTACGAAAAGTCAGCATCGCCGAGACGACTGGCAACCGTTTGTTGACGTCGAACATATTTACAATACTTCTTATACGATGCACAGCAGTCGGGGACGTGTTGAAAACAACAATTACCACAGGCAGTACACCAGTTTGTACTTGGCCAACTAATGTACTGCATAGCCGGCAGCGGAAGAATGAGGAAAGCCCAAGTAGACATACATTTATCTCATTCTTGTGAAACGAAAAAAAACGAGCGTATTTCAGCGTCGCACCGAGGAACACCAGTACGTATCACTGTCCCGGCGGAGACCAAAGCCACCCTGATGGCTGTTCCTTCCACGTATCGCGAAGAGCTCCCTGAACCTCCCCCCGCGGCTTGGCTCTACGGCTCTGTTGAGTTTCATGAGTAAACGAATGAACGGTCTTCGAAAGAAGGTACTGCGTCTCACGGTACTCGCCACCCCTTCCCTTCGCGTACAAATACAGATAGCGCCCGCAGTTAAGAAAAAAACTGTAAGAAAAAAGGCTCAACTTTGTACGAAAAATGCGCGAAAAGGGCTAAGAACTTAGCTCAATGTCGGCCACAACGTAAGAAACACCCCAACAAGAAACGTGATGGTGCGATACCCCCATGACATCAGAAATCTGCCGTGCTTACAACCCCCTCCCAAGCTGAACAGAAGTGCATTTTTTTGTAGGGGGCAGAGTCCCCCCCCTCCCCCGCCCCCCCGCGCCCCTGCTCTTCACAGTGAGTGCTGTAATGTAAGTACTGCCACACATCGCGGACAACCATATGCTCTCCGCTGTTGTACGGGTTTGATGGCACTTTCCACCACCTCTCTTGAGGGCTTGATGATGCGGATTGTCCTCAGAGACCAAAAGACAGAAAAAAGAAAGTACGAAGTGCTTGTTGTAGTCTAAGGAATAAGAGAATCGGGAGGATGCGACAGTCGAAAGGAAGAAGGAATGCCATTTACGAAATGGACGACTTGGGCCGGTACTTCGACCCAATAGAAGGGATTGGTGAGGCTCGAACCGATTTTGACGTTTCTTAACTGCGGGCGCTATCTGTAGGATCGAACGTCCTCCAAGCGAGAGGTAAGCTCGCCCTCGGTGAGGGACGAGGTTATGCACGAATCGTTTTTGGCGGCATCAGATGGACCGCCGGTAGATGGGAGGAATCTATCCATNGAAAGGAAGAAGGAATGCCATTTACGAAATGGACGACTTGGGCCGGTACTTCGACCCAATAGAAGGGATTGGTGAGGCTCGAACCGATTTTGACGTTTCTTAACTGCGGGCGCTATCTGTAGGATCGAACGTCCTCCAAGCGAGAGGTAAGCTCGCCCTCGGTGAGGGACGAGGTTATGCACGAATCGTTTTTGGCGGCATCAGATGGACCGCCGGTAGATGGGAGGAATCTATCCATACCAATACCCAGTTGCAGCTGCAGCAGCAGACCGCTCGCTACCTCTGCTGTCTGTGCGTCGCTACTTCTGCACTCACTACAGTTGTAGTGCGTCGTTCGTGCAAAGAGCGGCCCGCAGGCCCGCAGGACACAAAAATAGGGGGGTACGCGACAGAAAAATTGGGGTACCCCATTATCGTATATTCTTCCGGGCCCCCGGTGCTCATCAAAACAAGTTTCCTTCAAGCGGGGATTTTCCTTAACGCGAGCGTCCTTAAAGCGGGATCGACTGTAAATCGTTTTTCTCATAATTAGCACAAGCAGTTCTTCTTTGGTTCCGCGCCGGAACAAGGCGTATCCACATATATATGCATGTAGTCTGGCCAAACGGGATCGATCCTGGTCTTGCAAACAAAGTACAACATGCCGAACAAGCGGACATCAGAGTTCATTTTTTGTATGTTGGGTCGATCGCCCGGAGAGGAAAAACAAAATCCTGATGGCAATCACATTCTTCTTCACCCCCAGACGACGCGGAACTGCTGTGCATAGGAGTAGCATGCAGGGGCATTCCGACAACGACGTGTATTGGCGATGGCAGGAATTTACGACGGCTGAACAACGAGCCGTTGGCACTCCCACATCCCCGTGTGCAACTACTACTGCAAGTACATACAGGCAGCATGCATGTTGATTGATGCATAGGTGGATAGATATATGTCAATCGAGCGAGACCGTCACACATATGGCTATACCCCGCATTCACAGCTGCTGATAATAATCGTGTGTGCCCCCTTGCAATCGACCGTTTGGGCGTGTGATCGCTTATCACAGAGGCGACGGTCTTGGGCGTGGTCGAAGATGACTCCCAAGGTTCTGCGATCGTTTTGGACCGCACGATCTTCCACCCTCAGGGCGGGGGGCAGCCAAGCGATGAAGGTGCATCGTGCGCCGGGCTGATTATTGACGTACCTGTCCCCTGTTGCAAAACATTTTGGAGTGGTTGGGGTAGCAGGTGTTTCAAGGGAGTTCGGAATCCGAAATCAACCAGTAGACTATACAGCCAGTCAGTCCAATGGTTTGATTGGGCTTCGAAATGACGGATCAACATGCCGTCTCCGGTTTGAATGTACGCCGTCCATGAGAAGAGTTGTCGACAGCGGGTTACGTTCCAACTAAGCCAGACGCTGCCTGGTCGCTCGTCTGATAATTTTACACACAACCGGCACAAGCTCGGTGGTAGTTCATCGCCTTGGGGCACGTCAACTCTCACGAAAGTCAGGATGTTGTGGTTTTGCGGGTTAGTTATGCTTCGCGTTCCTTCCCGCCGTTGACACTTGTGCCTTCGCACGAGATCGTGTGATCGAGCCTGTCTTGTCACACCATAAGTCTGTTGAGCCTACTTTTGCTCTGCCGATTGAAACACCCACCAAAACCCCGTTTGTGAGGCCAATGCCCACGCGGCATCCCCGAACACATCACTAGCTGTCGTTTTCTTGCTCTGAAAACGATCGACCGTAGGCCTGCTCATATGCTCTTGGTTCTTCTCAAGATGTATGTCGATGTTGCACTCCATAATTTCATGCAGGAACCATCACGTGCGGAGACTGCACCGTGGCCGTGAGCAAGGTCAGAGACATGGGTGGCGTAATCTACCACTACGGGACGATCTCGGGAACACCGCAACCTCGGCTGGAGGTAGGCGGGCGGCCCGTCGTCGTCCAACAGCAATGGCCAACCAGAATGCAACACGACCGAAGAACGCAATGTGTAAACTTCTTCGTTTCGCGCGAGCGCGTCGGCGTCGGGAGCATATGATGGAGTCCGCGTTCGTTCCCAGTTGGTCACGCCGCCGAGGCGGCCCGATCGATCCAGGCATTCCCATTGATCTCTGCAATCGTTACTGTTTTTGTTCGTTATTAGCCGAAATCTAGCCGGTGGTCACAGACCATGCGATGAAACCCTCCTCACCAGGTCGAATGGCTCAGCAGCATTTTTTTGTATTCCCGTGCAGATCTTCCCGTCGGTGGCAGTTTTTGGCCCGGAATGTATGGGCATATGCTTGAACGTTCTCGGCCAAGAGGAAATAGTTCACTTCTGTGGGATAGGGTTCTCGGGGAATCCGCATTCATTCACGTGCCCGTGCGTCGTGCGTGCGTGGGTGTGTGTTGGCTAGAGTCTGGTGGCGTCCCGATTGATTGGTTGCCTTGTCGCACGCACGGGGCGGACGCATGACTCGATGGTATCCTCCGCTATCCTGGGTATATTTCATCCTCAGCATCAATCGGCCTCATGCACGCGTGTACCCAACTAACCAGCCCACAAGTCGGCGCGCGCAACCATTGAACGCGCCACCATCGTTCGTTATCAAGACGAACAGCGGGTCGCCCTCCTTCCTTTCGTGCCTATCCACCCACCGCCTCCCCCCCCTACCGCTCACGTATTTTCCGGCCCTCGTGGAAGAACAGGCGGGCCGGCCAGTATCCCTGGCGCTGGACAGCGCCAAGCGACTGAGGCACGCGGTTCTGCACTCGGCGGGGCACGCGGTCGACAAGGCCGTCGCGGGCGCGGTGGGCGCGGGCGTGTTCTCGCCGCTCAAGGGCTACCACTTCGACGACTCACCCTACGTGGAGTACCGAGGAACCTTGCCGGCAGGCCTGGAGAAGGATGCCTTCATCGAGAAGGTATGCATGCTACATGATGAGTGGTAGTAGGGCGCTATTTACTTGACAGATAATTTGCAGCCTTGTGACCCTCCGCGAGAAGCTGAGCCTGACGCTGCCATCATTTTTTTTTTTTTGTCTGCACTTCAAATCAGCGCCTACAGTACTTGTGCCTTTTACTCCAACCCGTGGTCGCACAGAAGGGTTCCAGACTACGTCGTAAATTGTTTCAATTAGAAGTAAGTTTAACAGCGAGCTCTTCTTGCCTGTTGCGTCTATATGTGTGTCCCTCACGCCACAGTGTAACAGCGAGCTCGACAAGCTGGTGGTGGCGAATATGGAGACTGTGGTCAAGATGGCGGATCAGGTGCGTGCGTGGGGCCCAGGGGCCGGTGAGCGAGGGGGGCGGGGGGCGGCATAGCGGGGAGCATCCTCCACGACGGGTCGTCGAGTCTCGTGTGTGGTGCGGCCCCTTTTCGGGGGAAGGCATTGGCCGAACTAGCGGCGGATGCACACAGTACAGCTAGTAGTCCAAAGAGTGGGGGCGCTAGTGCTTCGGACACTGTATCCCACCGGATAACGGACTACAAAAGGTTGTTCTTTCGAAGTGGGTTTTTTAGCATTGACCGTACATTTCTCATTTTTGGGTACCCTCCCCCCCATACTTCGTGAGCTCGGCAACCAGGTTACCGTTTTTTTTTCCTCCCCCCCGGTGTTTGCCACATGTCGGGCACATAGACGCTTTGAGTGAGGAAAGACACAAACTGAAACCTCACAGGTGATTTGTATTGGAGATTGCGAGACACCTAGACGTGTTGAGTGGGGATAGCTGCATACTGAAACCTCACAGATGGATTGGTTTTTGAGTTTGCCAGACACATAGACGCGCTGCGTGGGGATAGCTACATACTGAAACCTCACGAGTTGAGTGATGTTGGATAGTGCCAGACACATAGACGCTTTGAGTGAGGATGGCTGCATATTGAGACCTGACGGGTTGAGTGACTTTTGCGACTGCCAGACACATAGACGCATTGAGTGACGAAAGCTGTATACTGAAACCTCACAG